GGTGTGTATGTGTGTGTGTGTGTGTGTGTGTGTGTGTGTGTGTGTGTGTGTGTGTGTGTGTGTGTGTGTGTGTGTGTGTGTGTGTGTGTGTGTGTGTGTGAGTGTGTGTGTGTGTGCTATGTATCCAAGAAGAATTACCTCATCTTGTCAGTGTTTATGGAGCAACGTTAACCTCATTGTGAGCCCCACATGTGTGCAGTAAAAGAAAAGGGGGGTGGTAGAGGGGGAAGAACAGGATTTTTATGAAGTTCCAATCAAACCTGCCTTGTTTATATGTTCAAGTTCATGCAGACACGATGAGTCGCCCACCGTTGAAAACAAAGGAGATAAGGGGAGAGGGGAGCAAAGCGTGAGGGGAAAGAAAGTAATGAGCAATCCTTTTTTTGGCATCTGATACTCTCCTTAGAACATTTTATTTTTGCCCTTCCTGGTGTTATTATAGATCTGCATAATTCCACAGTGAGGGAATGCAATGGAATAATTGCCATTGGATGCAATTTATACATTGCTGAGACATTCTCCCCAAAGAATCAGCCACTTTCCTTTTGGACCAAAAATCTCAACTTTTCACACATACAGTACCTTGATTTAATGGGCAGATCACCGTGACATTGCTGAAAACCTTCATGCTTCATAAGGGACATCTGAAGTATTTTTCCAGCTAGTTTTGGATCTGAAGTGATGTCCCTCGGTCAGTCACCCTATGGGTCCAGGCTGAATTATGGTAACTGGTTTGCCGTGGTTACTAAAGATATGCATGGTAACTAGATAAATCCCTTTTTTTTGGCCATTTTTCTCACTTTTCATCTCGTCTGAAGCCTTCGCTTCCCCAATCAAACATCTCAACAGCTACAGAAGGGATTGCAACATTGTCAAAATGTCACTTTGTCCAAATTAACATATTGAACTCAAAGGAGAATACTTCTGTACTTTTTATTATTCTCAAATGGGCCATTGTGCAGAATGTGTAATTCACTTTTTGTAATTTATTACAAATAATAATAATACATTGTATTTATCTAACGCTTTATTGGGTGCTCAAAGACACTTTACAGAGGTAAACAAATACGATGTAATTTGTTAGTATTTAATACCATGGTATTCATACTTTTACTTAAGTATAGGATCTGAGTACTTCTCCCAACACTGCTTATGTATGAATAACATAGCAGTGTTTAAGTGCTTTTTAGCAAGGCTGATTTCCATGTGCTATTTGGTTTCCTTTCTGATTTCCTCCCTTACTTCTGTTTCGTAAAACTGGTTCTAGAGATAAAACACATGTCCATTGTTCTCCAGATTACATTTCATTGTCTCTTGTGAGAACCTGATGTTAGAAATCATCTTTGTTTGATAACTCCAGCAAACCTGCTATATTCAGCCTGGATTCACCTCATGTTTCGGATTTCTGGTGCCAAAAAGATGAGATGCTGTTGGTTTTATTTCTGCGTTGCAAGTGTAGGCGGACGTCGCTGCACAGATGGTGATCACTGCAGTGTGTGTGCACTCCATATGTGCCGGTGTATACCTGGGCATTGCATGGAAGACTTGCAGTCTGCTGACCTTATGCTGCTTCTTTTCAAGCGAACACACCCACACACACACACACACACACACACACACACACACACACACACACACACACACACACACACACACACACACACAGAGAGTATTTTTAGCCGGCCTGAAGCCTGGGATTGTTCGTGAGCTAAATGAAAAAAAAGACAGGAGATTTGGAAACCATTGTCTTTAGGTATTTTACACGTTGCTAAAGCAGCAGACTCCATCTTCACCAGAATCATTATTCAGACTAAACAACAATAGAAAGACAACCATTAGACA